CAGTGATTTTAAGAAATAAACATGCAACACCTATTTAAGCCAAACATCTAGTATTTTCTCTTGGAAAGAGGATGGTGATGGGGGAGGACAGGAAATAGGAACATCTCTCTGGTACATGTCAGTGCATTCATGATTTTTGAAGAGTAGAGACCCCATGTCCACACACACACACACACACACACTCACAATCTTGGGTAACTAATTATAACTTCACATGAAGAGGCTCAGCATTAATACAGCCATCTCCTATTATTTATTTATATCCACTGTGCCAAGGGAAGATCTGAAATCTTGGTGTACTTAGTATTATCCTTTGCACTATCTAAAAGCATCAGAAATTACCAAGCTTCCTGAAATAGAAAGCACTTTGACAGAACTGCTTGAATTCAGAAGAAAACAACTCTCAAAAAGGCATAATGACAGTCAGCATAGGAGAGCCAGTAATGGGGAAAGAATGCTAAGAACACAGAGAAACGTAATGAGGACATTAATCCTGGTTCCGTTTGGATGCCGTGCTGTGGCCCACAGAGTGACCGCAGCTGAGTTCCTTGTGCTCAGGTTTTCAGTTGGGCACAAAGATTTATGTCTGTGGTCCTCAGTCATTTTAATACAGGTGACTGTTTGGCACGCTCTGTACTCCCAACACCTTCACCTCCTCTACCCCACATTCCTAATGTCATTATTTTAATTTTGTAACATATACTGAAAAGTCCATTTAAAAATTTCCCTGCATATTTTCATGGCTCATCTAGCTACCAGAGTGCCTTAATTGAAAAGCAAAGCAAAGGAGGTGGGTGGTGGGTGGAAAGAGATCAACCAAAGAACTCATACACCTATATGCATAACCCATGGACACAGACAATAGGGTAGGGAAAGCCTGGGTGGGGGATGGGAGCAGGATAGAAGGAGTCAGTGGGGGGAAGGGGATATATGTAATACTTTCAACATCAAAGATTTAAAGCAAAGCAAATTTAAATGAACTTTGCACAGAAGGAAAACAAATAATTTGAAAAAAGATTACAACTCAAGTATCACTTTGTATAGCAGGTAGAATTTGGATGTTCAGGTTGAAGGGCAGGCAGTGGATGCTGCAGGCTTAGTCGGGATGAATTAGAGTTCCCATCTGTGAACTGGAAAATCTTTTGGCAATGCCTAAGTGATTTCCCAGTAATGTGGTCAGTGTTCTCAGAGTCAATAATTTCCACCAGGGCCCGATAATGACCATTTAAAAGCATTAGCTCACGTGATCAATGCACCTTGCAGTTGAGGGCATGGCTTGACAGGAAACTGAAGCTCTCCGGTCCAGTCCTTGAATTTCAGGGCAGGGGAGGGGGTGAGAAAAAAGCCCTTTAAACCTCAGGGATTGTCAGTGGCTGTGTGTATGTTTTCTAAGGGATAGCGTCAGTGTCTGGGCCCATGTTAAGCCAGCACCGTTCATTTTGGAGAAGGTGGCAGTGGAGAAGGAACAGAGAAAAGTCTCTGTAGAAAGGACGCGAGTGGCTTTATCCCCTTGTTTGCATAGCTACTGCAAAACCACCACGCATTGCATACGGCTCATCTTCCAGTGGTTTGTTTTTTCCTTTCCTGTATTCATTTGGACCTCTTGGGAGTGAAATTAATTACAGTGTTGACCCCAAACATCTAAAGTCAGAGTCTTGCCACCAAGCACAGAAATATGATCTAACGTAAAAGAATAATGGCTGTATAATAAATTTTTGCAGGGTCTGGATCTAGGCTTCTAAAATTTAAGGTGCATCCACAAATCCAAGAGCTCTTTTTAAAAATGTGTTTTCTGATTCAGTAGGTCTGGGTTGGGACCTCAGAGTGTTCATTTCCAGTCAGCTCCCAGGAAATGTCAGAGGACACACTTTGAGTAGCAAAGCTGCAGAATACATCACAGGTTAGTCCACATGATAGGAAATCACCAGATATTTTAAGCTGGTACAAGCCACCCAGACAGCGGTGGTACAGCTCCTTCTGTGAGCGTGTCTGTGCTGAGCACCTTCTGGGGGAGGGTGCAGAGAAAATTCATCACCACCGGGGGCCACCCTGCAAGCTCTTGCATCCGTGTTTCAGGAGGGATGTTCTGTCACTTGCCTCTGGGTAGTGCTTATTAGAGAATCACTTATGACCTGAAAAGGCGTAGTGGGTGGAGGAGCAGAATGGTGTTCATCCTTCACTTAGTGCGAATCCTTGTTGCTGTAGTTTGGCTGGGAAATTTCATCTTGGATTTTGAGGTGCCTTCTCCAAAAGAGAATATATTATTAAAGTGTGTGTGTGTGTGTGTGTGTGTGTGTGTGTGTATGCAGTCAGTATATTATTACTGTACGTTAACTTGAATGTGTATATACATATACATCGTTAATAATGAGTTCAAGAGTTCGGTCATTTTAACTGTATATTTAAGCCCACCCTGTTAAAATGAAAGGAAAACGACATTAGTGATGAGGCTTATAGTGTTATGTATCTTACTAAGTCTTATAGTCTCTACATTTTTATAATTTCATCCATGTTAGCTCTTGGTTGTTGATTGCTCAGTGGACTAGGATGCTAACCAAGGTCAGAGACTGAAGTTCATGGTAGCCCCCCTCTTTCAACCAAAGCAGACCCATATTTAACTTTGAACATATGTGGTTTCCACGGAAAATCTCGCTTGAAAAGCAGTAATGTGAACTATTAATATTTCCTACCATGGACAGCATTTATAGGAAACATTTTAAGCAACACTTACATTTCTCCTGCGTTCATCTATTTATGCAACAGCTCTTCACTGTTCCCTTAACGTGTGTGAGGCCGTGTCTGGGTGCTGTGGGAGAAACAAGGTGAATAAGCAAACCCTGCCCCCTTAGAAGCAGCCTTGAAACCCCGTGGCTGACGGGAAGGAGCCGAAGTGGCACCAAAAGCACCGTGTTGAACTGGAAAAGATCCACTGTACCGCGTGTTAGGTCACTGTACTCGGTAGAGGCGCTCTCGTTTTATTTCTTGAGGTCTAATTGGCAGGGGATAATGGTGATACGTCCTGGGTGTTCCTGAAGTGCGATTGATAGTCAGTATGTGATATTGTTATAGAAGTGCTGCCAGAATCCTCTCTGTACTAAATCTTAGCTTTTAAAAGCTGTGCCTGATTATTTTAGTGTGGGCATTTGTTTCTTACCAAGGCAGCCAGTGGGAGGCGGTCTGGCACGCCCACTTAGAATGTGGGCCACAGAAGCAGAGGGCCCAGGTTCACCCTCTGGCCTGACCATTCACAAGCAGCCTCACTGTGGGCAGGTTACTTACCTCACTGAGCTCTCACTCAGCTATAAAATGCAAATGATAATAGCATCTACTCCACAGTGTTACTGTGAGGATCGAAGACGTGTAAGACACACATGGAAAGTGCCTGGCACATAGCAACCCCTCAGGAAAGGTAACTGTTGTTATGTTAATATACTGGTATGTCTTATAATAAGATGCATGCTTCCTTCATTTCAGGTGACCTCCTTTGACAGGATTCAATATACACAGATCCTTTACATTTCAGATGCTTCATTGTAACCCCAAAGCCTTAGCCTTGGTGAATGCTCCGGTGTTGGGAACACCCACATTGGGGCAGCACCCTGCATTGCCTCACAGCCCTGGGAGGTGTTTTGGGTCCCTTGTGTGCAGATAGCGGGAGCCTTGCTTAGCATGAGGGTCCTGGGGTCTGGAAGAGAATAAGACATGGGAGGCTCTGCTAGGGAGAAGCCCTGCCCAAGTGCAAGTGGGGCTCCTGAGACACAACCTGGCATTGTTCTGTCTGCAAATGTGCAGGTCACTCTCTTGGGGACTGAGGGGCGGGGGGCCCGAGGGTGGAGTGCAGGGAGGATTTGGATTTGGGTCAGGGGCTGCAGAGGAAGGTATTTGCTTTGCAAAAGTTGGGCTACACTCAACTACATCGAGACACATTCATGCCACCAGTCTTGAGCAAACAGAATTTTTAAAAATGTGTGGAAATAGACAATAGAATTCCAGCATTTCAGCAGAGGATCAGATGCCAAAAGGCTACCTTATGGCATTTTTTGGTTGATTAGGGTGTTCTTCACAGCATGGAACTTGGTCAAGAATTCATCTAGGAAAAGGTATGAGCTAGTACATCTGCTGCTTTCTGTCTACACTTGTCAGAGGAGGAGATGGTGGTGTTAGATGGAGCTTGCCCTTGGAGCTCTTTGGCCCACTTCTGCAAACAGTAACGTCTTTTTTTTTTTTTTAATGAGCAGTGGGTATATTTTTTAGTCTCTGGCGCTAGTCATTCAGCAGTGATGAGTGTGTGTGTGTGTGTGTGTGTGTGTGTGTGTGTGTGTGTGTGTGTGTTGTCTGCCTCTTGCACCCAAACATCCTCCAGCTGTGAGTCTTTTCCTTCTCTGTATGTAAAGCCAGTAAACGAAACCAAAAGCCCTGGGGAAAGGGTGAGGAGAGCAACAGAAAGGAACCTTCTCTTTTGTGAAAAAGCCCGCCACTGGCTGGATCTTAAAGAAAAGCGGATGGACCTTTTTCTCTTGACCGTGTGCATAGAGCAAAGCGCCGATCCTCGGGCGGAGGGGTCCTTCTCGGGGTTGGAAATAAGTTTCACCTTTGTGCTGGGGCTTCTGCCACAAGATGAGACATTTACATCTGACGCTAAGAAATGATTGGTTGTGGGGAAAAGAAAAAAGGAAAAGCAAACATCTGTCTTACAGGTTAGCCTTGAAATTATACTGTTTTCGTTCTGTCATGGGATACCCGGCTTTTAACTCGCTGGTGAAGTCTGCGAGGCTGGGTTGTTTGCATCTATTTTTATCTCATCCACTCGGCCCCGGGTTCAGAATAAGGTTGCTGGTTTCCTCCCAGAGCTCCCAGCCACAGTCAGCCCTGACCTGGGCAGCCGGGGAGTGGAAGCAGCTTTTCCTTGGTTGGGAAGAGGAACGGTGCTGTGGAGAGGAGCCCAGGCGGGATCATCCAGGGGAAGGCCACGGCAGATGGTGGGAAGGCTGGGCTTTCCACAGGCCGAGCGTCAGTGCCGAGGGAGCCTCAGAAAACGGCAGCTGCCCCCGTGCCAGCGCACAGGGCAGACCCGGCCGGGCGGGCGGTGTCTCCGAGCCAGAGCAGGACAAGGGCACGCACAGCCGGGCACAGACTCTTAGCTGGCTCTCCACGTCAGCATGAGCAGTGAGCAGGGTCCTGAGCAATTGGCACATCAGCCTATCAGAATTCAGGAGAGGTTCTTTCTCAAGTAAAATTCTAAAGAGTCAAAGGATGAATTTGGACAGTGATGGAATGGATGACATCATCAGTCAAGAATCCCCATTGGATATGGAGGGGAATTATAAAAAGGTAAGGGGGGGAGAGTTCTTTTGTTTGTGAACAATTGGACCATTTTTCTAACTGGGAGAAAGATCACCCTTGAGAAGTGGCCAAATTCCACAGTCAGTGGCCATGGCCATAATATATTCAGGAAAGCTGAAATGCACAGAATTGAATACATTAAGCTGGGAAAGCACTTCTTTCTGCTTTTCCCAGCTTGTATTCATTAATATATTTTAGCAGTAACTGGAATACACATGTTGTTATTCTGAAGTTGAAAAATTTATATTATACATTTACTTGCTAGGCAGGCTTTTTATATAAAGGGAGAATTTTTAAAATTACTGACATGTTAAAAATTCACCTGCAACTAAAAATTACTAGAATGTTTAACCTATCTTTCTAATTTTGACCTTTTTTTTAAATATTAAGTTTTACAAAGAGAAGATGTGGGGTTTTCAAAATTTGATACGGTATCTACTAATTCTTTGCTTGCCTTTTCTTTTGAAAGCCGGTGAATATATTTTTGGAATGTTTTATATGGTAATTGTCTGGTAATAAGAGGCCCAAGTAAAAATAGCTTTAGTTATATGGGCGAGGTCATGAAATTAAACTGCAAGTGTGTGCTTGTCCGTCCACAGAAGGCTAAACACATGCTCCGTCCTCCCTTATTATTTTCCCTAAGTCAGATGTAGGTCACGGCACAGTACAGGATGAAAGAGAAGGGCCCTTCCATCATGGAACTAACACAGGAAGACTTGCTGCTAAACTTCTAATTTGATCAAGTATGTCACCAACTTTTTTCCCCAGAGTGAGAGACAGAAAGAAGCTTCTCTCTTGATAATAATGCAAAATATGGCAGTTTGCATCTTATATGCATAATTGTGTGTGAGAATAGGGGCTGTTTTGAGTATATGCTTTCTTTCTTAGAGCAGCCCAGAATAATTTATGCTCTTTCTCCAGAAGCTGAAACTTAAATATGTGAGAGAGATTTAAATGACCTGCCAGGTTGCCCTGCGTGGGTTTTGTCCCTTGCGATCCCCAAGGAGGGAATGAATGCCCGAGGTGGGAAGTGCACAGAGTCCTGAAACCCTAACACCTCTCAGCAGTCCCCTCCTGCCGGCAGTGGGTGCAGCAATCAGAGTCGGTCACTTACCCAGCCCCGGACACGCCTCTCACCCTGCCTCTTACGTTCAGGGCCAAAAGACGGCTCTCGGTTTTCTTTGTTAAAACGTCTCAGATAGAAAAGTGTAGGTCAGTTTGCACTTAGGAAAACATGAAAAACATGCCGTTGCTCACGCAATAACAATAAAAGAATGGCCCCTGTAGTTTCGTGCTCCTTAGAACCTGAGAGCCCAGATGCCTGGGATGAGTGAGCGATGATAGGAGGCAACCTGATACAGCACGGACTAAAGCCACAAGCTTGAAAGGCTCGAGTGGCTTTAAAACATCAACAACAACAATACAGAGTTGCAGTGTGAAGCCCATTATCTAACTGAGGCAGTGGGATGCCACGTGAGCTTTCAGGAGACCTGGTGTCTGATAGGTCAAGTACGAAGCACCCCTAGATGGAACCCTTCGATGAGGAGGATGCCAGAGGTCAGGCAATGTTGTTCTGGACCCTAAACATGAGAGTTGTTCTCTTGGCGGTTCAGCTTTCTAACTGCCTTGCTCAGGCAAATGCTTTCAAATTTATGCATATTGTGTTTACTATGAAGGCTTCATTATGCTAAAAAAAAATACTAGTCTTAATTTCATTAAGAACGTCTGGCAAAACAAGGCAACATATGTTTTCTTTAAAATACAAAGAGCAGGAAAAGAATTAGGTAGTATAAAAATCACTTTTCCTAATTGGAATCTTCTTTTTCTAAGTTTTTCCCCCAAATGTTTTGTTTTTGCTGTTTGGTTGACTAAGTAGAAAATTAAATTAGGTGCCATAAAGCAGGGGTCTGCAGGCTTTTTTGATCTTGTACCCATCAGTAAAATGTTTTTGAGCCCATGCCTCTAATATACATATATTTTATTCATAAGTTACATATACATATCATTGTAAAAATATGTTACATACATATAAAACATATAGAAATAGATATTTTTAAATAAATGTTTAAATATAAATTCAAGTTTTCATAATTTCTCTTTCCCCTCCTGTGACTATGAGGTCAGTTGTCAAAAACAGTTGGAAAATTGATATACCCCGGCCTAGATATGACAGAACTTCCTATACCAGTTGCACTAATAAATGCCACATGGGTACAGGGATTATTTTACAAGATTGTAATAAAGTCAGGCAAACAGCCTTCGGGGGGAAAGGTCACTTTCCGATACTAAAATTAGATTCCACCAGGCGGGGGAAGGAAGAGAGTAGGCATCTGTTCCCTTTCCTGGGGGAAGGTCCTGGCGGTAAGCAAGATGTCTCATTAGGATCTCTGGTTTACTCAGTAGCGGTGAAGCTGTACTCAACAGAACACAGATCTCAGTATTTAGGAGGAAGGCCTACACCCTGGCAGAACCCAAGGTGTGTATGTTCAGTCGCCATTGCCCTGCCTTGCTGTGCGCAAACCGCCCCCGACCTTCTGGTAAAGCCCACACAGCTGATTGTCTTTAGGAGCAAGCACGGAGCAAGTCCAAGGCCAGGATCTCAGAAGAGAGAATGGGCTTTCCCTCAAGGAGTTTACAGTGTGTGTGGTGGGGGGGGGGGGGGGGGGGGCGGGAAGGAGGGAGCACACAAACAAGCTGATAGGGATGATGCTGCCTGGATGTTCGGACAGCTAGTGTGGACCGGAAAAACACGCAGCTTGTGTCCTCTCAGAGCCTGGAAAGATCCAAGTTACACTGATGGAGAGAGAGGAAATCAAGAAAATGTAACATAGACGGCAGAAGGCTGGCTCCCACTGTGTCCGGGAGCAGAGCAGACCCAGGGAAGCCATCCGACCTTCCGTCCGTCCACAGGCTGCCCCTCGAAGAGAGGAGCGGGAACAGGCCTGTGCAGTCGAGGACAGGACGGGGAGGCCTGCTCGCCTCGCTTTGTTCCTCCGAGGTGCTGTCTCTAGTGTTGTGCATCCAATTACAGTGAAAGATTAGGGAGGAGCCTGTGAAAACATTAAAAGGCTGGAAGGAACAATATTTAAAGTGAAGCCACAGCTGCGCCTCATGTTTTTTTTAAAAGGTGAATGGGAATGACTGCTGGAGATAAACTGCAATAAACAGGAACACAGAATGCCAGCTGCCATTCCAGACAAGAGCTCTGCCCTCCCCACTCAATTACGGAGGAAAAGCAGCCGTCGACCTCCATTAACCCTCCCGTCTTCCTGTCTGTGAGGGCTGAATGCGCTGGAAGGACTGCTCAGTTACTGAACCCGGAGCCTGGGCCCACCTCGCCACCTGGGGACCATCGCTCCTGCTCTCTGAGCCAGGGTCTCCCTTCCTTTGAAGGGAGGAACTGGCCTGGAGGGTCTTAGAGGATGTAAATATGAGGCCTCGGCTCCTACTTCAGGGTTCTTCCCCGGATATCACCCTGTTCACCAGCATAGTCAGGGAACGGTTGTTTCAAGTAACTAGATTTTCTAGGCATGTGGTATGTGAATTATAGCTCAATAAAAGTAATTAAACCACACACACGTAACAAAAAAAAATGTGTATGGTTTATTTTTCAATTGAGATATAATTTATATACCATAATATATGAGGCACAACTCACATACCATTTCAAATTTTGATGGGTTTTAATATATTTATAAGGTTATGCAAACCACTATTGTCTAATTCCAGAATATTTTCATCACCCCCAAAGAAACACTGTATCCATCTGCAATTACTCCCAATTCTTTCCTCCCCATACATTAATCTGTTTGCTGTCTTTTTATTTTAATTTATTTATTTTAGAGAGACAGGGAGAGAGAGAGAGAGAGAGAGAGAGAGAGAGAGAGACATCAATGATGAGAATCATTGATCAGCTGCCTCTGTACGCCCCCTACTGGGGATTGAGCCCACAATCCGGGCATATGCCCTTGACCGGAATCAAACCTGGGACCCTTTAGTCTGCAGGCTGACACTCCACCCACTTAGCCAACCGGCTAGGGCTGTTTGTTGTCTTTATGGATTTGGCTATTCTGGCTATTTCTGGCTCTCTTTAGTCCCTTCTTCATATATATATTTGTGCTGATAGTACTACAGATGTCTCCCATTTTCCCCCCTTTTACTGCCTCCTCCCAGCTCCTACTCCCCTCCCCCCCCCCAGGTCTTTACTACCTTATTGCCTGTGTCCATGGGCTGTGCATATAAGTATATAAGTTCTTTGGTTTATCTCTTTTCGTCCCCCCAACCCCACATCAAGTTATGGCAGTCTGTTCATCTCTCCCTTTAATATTCACAGCTACCATTTAATAAGTTTCTCTCTGGGACAGGCACCATGCCAACTACTTTCTATATAGCATTTCATTTGATCCTTAACACAACCTAAAAGATAGTAGTAGTATCTTTTTTTTTTTTTCCAGAAAAAGAAACAGGGGCTTAAAGGGTTTCTGTAATCTGCACTAGGAGGTGTCAGAGTCAAGATGTGGACTTGGGTCTTCTTGACCCCAGCTTCCCTGCCCTGGCCTCCTGCTCTCCTTCCTGGTCACGTGCCTGTGTCTGGCACCCCCAGACCCTGAGTCCACCGTGAGGTGGGAAATTGGGGACATTGGCTTCCTGGCAGCTGTTTCATAACCATCCAGTAGGTGTTTCAGACTGTTGTGTCCTGACAGTGACACTGAGTGACTGCGATGGGTTTGCAGGCCTCTGAAACGCACCTGATAAAAATAGAGCTCCCAGATAACAGTGTGCTCGGTCATCTGAGGACCAGAAGGAGCCCAGGATGCTCCCAGCAGCTCATGTTTGGGACACGCTGCTCATAAGGGAGGAAAACTTGAGTTTTCAGCAGCGTCCCCCTAGGACTGAACGTGGAAACACTTGCACTACAGTCGTCAACTTTGTGGACTGCGCCTTTGGTTCCATTACCGTCACCAAAGTTCCCATTCAGCCAGTGAGTG